ACCAAACTCCGTTCTCTTTGCTGGCTCTGTTGGTCCAGTGCCATTTCAAAACTTGTGCAGTTATCTCCTCTGCAACCTCTTCTACGTGCTGCAAGGAGATGAATTCCTGCTGACACAGGGGGTCTTGAGGGGGTTCTGCCCAATCTCTGGCTATTCTGCTGATGTTATCTGCAGAAATAAGTTATATTTCTGTAACACTCCTGCTTTTGGAATTGTTTTGAGGTGCTAGTAAAGTCTGATCTTACAAAGACATTTTAATTGGGCTGATACGTCTGATAATGCAGGAACATTTGGTTTTTCAGAAAAAAAAAATGCCAGAGTATTTCAGACACTTTTAAAAGCATTTTTAGTGGATGACATAACTTTAATCATTACTCTATGTCCTGGGTATGTGCTCGTGCTACTCCTCATCGCTAAGTTTCAATCAGTTTTATGCTATTTCCTAATGACACATTCACAAGGACTAGAGACAGTCTAATACAAGAGGCAAATGGAGTGGACTGGGACACCACTGCTCTGCAAAATTTTACCGAATTCAGATGACAAACAATTGTACTGATGAACATAACAATAAATCTGGTGTTCCTCGGTTTAAAAAATATGTAAAACTGAAAACAAATAAAATCTTCCTGTTAGTAAACAGTATTACCCATTCTGCGTGTAGCAGAATCTGAGAGCTCAAGTCACCTCTTGTACCACGAATTCTGCCTACATTCCACAGCCTGCTCTCATGACAGAAATGCTCACTCTCTCTCTCTGGAAGAAAAATAACATTCATGAAAATTAGAGACATTTACTAATAGGAAGCTTTTATATTTTGAATATAAAATGCAAAAGAACTGGGAAACATAAGTCTCAGTATTACACTCGTGATAGAATTTCCAGAATCTAGAGAGATTAACATTTACACACAGCAAAGAAGTTCCACAGCATTTTGTTTCCTTTCTGTTAGGTACATGCTGCTCCATGATGATTTTACATAAAAAGTAGAGTCACAGGCAAGAAAGGACCGAAAGATGAAGAACAGTATCAATATGTACCAGAAATACATGGAAAGTACTTTTATTAATAGCATCCAACAATGACGCTAAAACAATGCCTGACACATCTTGAAGAATCTAACAAAAATCTAAATATTTCTCTTTCTTACCCTGGACAAAACTTAAAATGCATAGATGAAAAATTATGAAATATGAATTGTGATTGTTACCCTATTCCTTGAACAAATGACCCCCTCCACAGCCTTTATTTTCAATGGTAGAAAAATACGGAACTTTCTAGAAATTGTATTTATTACTTACATACGTAAAAATGTAATCTGAAGTAATTATTATTCATGTAATTTATATTTTTAAATATCATCAATAACTAGAGCAAATCATTATGTAACACTCAGTAGTAAGACAAAAAAAAGCAGAAAAGCATAATCACACACACGCACACACACCAAAAAAAAAAAAATACAGAAATGAAAATGAAAAATATATGTAATATTTCTAATTACTAATGCCTTGTAGCATGAAGCAGTGTTATGAGAGATACAATAAATAAATTAATTTAAGCAAATAACCTGAAAATAATTACTGCCAAACACCTATTTTTGAGAAACATTCACTCTGAAGGCTTCAGTTTATCAGAAAGAAAACTTCTTTTTTAGAAAAAAAAGTGCAAGTGTGAGGTTCCAAATGTGCAACAATACTGCAATTTGGCAAAGCTCTCATTAAAATCAAAGAGATTCTGTTTGATTCTGTTTGATGCAGGCTTGCAAAAAGTCAGCTTTCCTGGTGCCATTGTACTGCTCTGTATTTTTCCTTAAAAGCCTTGCAATCAAATGTACAGTGACCCTCAAAATATTACATCTCAGCAAAATAAATACTTCATGTAAAATCAAAAGATCAGTATGTACTCATGAAAAAAAAAAAAAAAGTTGAATTGCATTCTGTAAGAGGAGTGTAAAATTCATGCATAGCGTAGAGACTGGTCCCACGATAAACCAGATATTTTTGTAATAAATTACATTTATCAGGCACCTCTGACTACTTCAAACCATGCTTGGGCCACTAATCCACCTCCCCCAGGATTTATTCTAACATTCCAAGCATAGGGGTAGCTTCAAATAGCCAGCATTTTTATTAGGGAAAAAAAAATGTTTTTACCCTCCCCCCCTAATGTGAAATGCCCTCATCCAAGGATGGGCAGTAATCATTCCTGACCCAGTGAAAGGTTTAAGGTCTGATATCTGACCCATCAGAAGCTTGCTTTCATTAGAAAGACGAGACATCAGTTTTCCAAAGATATACACACAGCACTTGATTATAGTCCTGGGAGTTCTGGAGAAATCTGACCTTTAAATTACATTACTACATACAGAAAAATCTATTTAAAGCTAATTTCAGTAACTAAGATATTTAAGTAATCTTTATTCTCCCTCTTATTTTATTTTCTAGAGATCTGTAAATAGGATTCAGGATAACAGAAAGCACCTGATTTTACTGATATTGTCTTCTTCTGTACTGGTACTGTTTCACCTCTGCACTCCAAAGCACATTTGCCTAGCACATAGGTGTTATACATCATGGTACGCTACAGTCTTGGATGATGGTTGTACTAGCATGCTGGAGATGACTTGCACGATTTGCTCCCCGCTTCACTCCTCCCTCCACACTCTTACCGATAAAACTGATCATCTGCATCGTACAGCCCGTGAAAATAGTTTTCATGTCTTTATAGATATTTCTATACTTTAGCTATCATAAAAGAATGTTTCTCTAAGCCTAAAACATTACAGACAGGGAAAGCATGCAAACAGTTTCAGCATAGTTTCACGTTTGCTCTTTTGGGCTAATAAAATTTCAGAGAAAACAAATTTTGATTTACCATGTCTCCCCTCCCCTTTCCATGAGCAACTTCTGCTGTCAGTCCTTAGGGGCACACACAGCAGGCTATCATGTAATGTCACACTAGGTGCTGGGATTCAACAAAGGCTAACATGTTGATATCTTTTTATTGCTCGTCAGCCTGGTTACCCCATTTCCCCCTATACAATGGGACACTTTTGATAATATGGAAATTTCTGAACCAGTTACATTTCTATTTTCAGTCAGTAACTTTTTTTTTTTTTTTTTTTTTTTACAAAGCAGTACTCTATTATCTTGCTTTTTAACTCACAAAATAATCTCCTTTATTTTACATAAACTAAAGATAGGACCAAAGTGGTACATTTGTTTATAATAAACATAAATAATTACATTGCCAAATAATGCTTTTCTAGGTAGCCTAAACGCTATTTTAAATTCTTTCTTAATTAACAAAAATATCAAAGGTAATACTACCTACACTGGCAAAACTTTTTCATCGACCTACCGCTCTAGCTAGTCGGCTGTATTTCATTTTGTGTAGAAGTAAAAGACAAAGTATGTGAAGGTTCTTCCCAAATACAAGCAAGAGAAAATACAAATATCATTAAAATCTCAGTCCCCACAAGGGCAGGACTGCAGCAAACTAGCTGAGGCAAACTCGGGTCTACTTTCATGTGAAGTACCCAGGACTGTGGAAGATTCTTTAATAGCTTGCTGGTAAGGGCTGCAGTATGAAATAACACGTTTTGTTGTAATTCCTAAACAGGGGGACATTTATCTAGGCCATTTATACAAGAGTTATAACCTTAACAATATTTATACTCAGCATGTCATGTTAGCATTTACTACCAGTTTCCATGGAGATGGATTTTCATGCTGTAGCTATGAAATGCACATTGTTGCCACTAAGCCACTTCAGGCCTTTCTGGAAGCCTGCTGAATGCCTGACAAAAGTTGATGCAAACCAATAGTTGTTGTTCTTTGTTTGTTGCCAGACTTCTAGCAGAGCCATATTATGTCCTAGTGATTGAAGTGCCCATGTTCGCCCCCCTCCCGGCACAAAAAGGATCCTCAATTTCGGTGACAAGCATGAAGTGGGCTTCTGCAGGAGAGGACAAACGCCACGCAGGGCCGGAGCTCTGTCTCCGCACAAGGACACGGCGCGGCGGGGGGCCGCTTTCCCGACAAAGCCTGACATTTGGGGGATAAAGTGTAAATAAAATAAAGCGCGGCGAGCGCCCGGCCGCGGGAGGAAAGAGTCAGCGCCGCGCTCGCTCTGCCGTGGAGGCTCGGCCGGCGCCAGACCCTGCGGCCAGGACCCGCGGGCACGGCCGCCCGCGTGCCCTCCGCGCCCAGACAGCGGCTCGGCAGCCGGCGACGGGCGCCCCGCGCCCGGTCCCGCCCCGACGGGTGCGCCCCGACGGCCCCGACGAGCCCCGCGCGGGGACCCCGGCGCTCACCGCCCGCTCGGGGCGCCGCGCCGCCGGGCTCCCTGCGCGGCGCCGGGCGCGGCCGGCACTAACCGCGGGCCGGCCGCCGGGGCTGGCCCCGCGCAGCTCCGGGGCGCCGGCGAGACGGGGCTCGACCCCGGGCGGACGGGCCCTGCGGTGCCTCCGCAGCCCAGGTGGCGACAGCTCCGGCGGGCCGGGCCGGGCCGCCCCGCGCCGAGCCGAGCCGCCGCCGCCCCCCTCCGACGGCACCGCAGGACCCCGGACCGCAACGGGTCCAAGCGCTGCGAAGCCCGCGGCGGGCAGCTCCCCCTTCGGAAGGACATTTTGGCTCAACGCTCGTTGAGCGCCGCTCGCTGCAACGTTAATTTCCAGGCGGCCGCTCCGCCTCGGCGCCAGGGTCCCCGCTAGCCGGGGCCGCCACCCACAGCAGCCCCGGGCCCGCGGCACGGGCGCTGCCCCCCGTCCCTGAGGGGCTCTGGGCGTTCGCACGGTCGCGGTGGGAAGCTGCCAAAGGCGGCCCGCTCAGAAACACGCTCCGAGTCTCGCAGCGTGCCTCCGAGGCGGGCCGGGCCACGCTGCCAGGGCTTCGCTCGCCGCCGGCGGGCACCGCGGGGCAGAGCCGGGCCCTGCCAAGCCGGGCCGGGCCGAGCTGAGCCGGGCCAGGCCGGCGGGACGCACGGAGTGTTCTTACTGTTGGTAGTCCTGTTTGCAGTAGAGCTTTCGGTCCCGGAAGTAGCAGCTGGTGGTGAGGGCTTGCTGACACACCGCGCACTGCAAACACTCTTCGTGCCAGGAGGACTCGTTCACCCTCATCAGAAACCGATCCGAGATGGGCCTCTGGCAGCCTTCGCACACGGCCTGGTGCTGGCAGTCTGACCCTGGGAACGGCAAAGAGCGGCGTGAAGCGGCGGGACGGGCCCGCGCCTCCCCGGCCCCGCGCCGCTCTCCCACCCGGCCCCGGCCCCGGCCCCGGCCCCGACCCCGGCCCCGCCGCGGCGCCCGGAGTCGGGCAGCGGCGGGCAGCGCAGCTCGGCCGGCCTCGGACGTCGGCAGGGGCGAGCGAGGCCGTCTCCAGGTCTGCGCCCCACAAGTGTCAGTTAGAGAGTTCCGCGCCCGCCTGCAGCCCGGGGCGAGGCTGCTCAGCCCGCAGCCAGCCGGGCTCGGGCTCCGTCAGAGCGCAGCCCCGGGCACCGAGCGGAGCCGGGGGAGCAGCAGGGTTTGCTTTTTGGCATAGCCGAGAAACGAGCAGCAACTCACCCAGTAACACTCCTAACGTGGCCGGACCCGAGCGCAGAGGGTGATCTTCCATTTTAATACCGTCCAGCATCTTTGAGCAGTCCGACTGGCCCCGCGTAAAGCACCTTTCCAAGGACTCGGGACCTGTTGCAATATCCATGGGGCAGGCGGCGGCGCTGCCCGGCGCTCCGGGGCGGCTGGGGGAGACGGGCTGCCGGGCGGCGGGGCCGGCTCAGCCCCGCGTCTGGCCGAGCTCTGGGACACTCTGTTGCTGGGATGAGGGAGTCGCTTTTATTTTTATCTGGGAGACATGAGGAGCGTTTCCTGCCTGAACTTCCAGAGACGGGGGGCAGAGGAAGGAGCCGGCGCCGCTGCCCATGGGGGCAGCCCGTGCTACACAGGCGCGCACATGCTCCGCACACGGCGCAGGGCAGCCCGCGTTGTCACCTGCTCGCCGGGAGCGCCGGAGCCCCACGCCCTCCGCGGAGGGCCCTCCCGGGGCCGGGGCCGGGGCCGGGCGGAGCGGCGCGGCGGGGCCGGGCGGGGCGGCGGGGCTTCCCCGGCGCTCCGCAGCCCATGTGCCATGCGGCGTCCCGAGGAGCCGCGCCGTTTAGAGAAGGGGCCGCGGCGGAGGAACACACCCCCCGGCGCCTCACCCCTCCTCAAACTTGCTGACATTTGAACTCCATTGGTGCGCGCCGTATCGCTGCGCCGCGGTGATCCGTCTCCTCGACGTCAAATAGTGCCCTGGCCCCGGCGGGCCCCCGCAGCCCCCGAAGCGCGGCGGCGCCCGAGGCGCGGGGCGGGCGGGCTCCGCGCACCCCCGGGGCGGCTCGGGGCGGCCGCGGGGCGCGCAGGCAGCGCGCGGGGCCGGGGCGCGCCGCCGGGGGCCCGGGCCTGGGGCTGGGGCCGGGGCCGGGGCTGGGACCGGGACTGGGGCGAGCGGCCGGGAGAAGAGAGCGCGGCCGCCGAGAAGCGGCCCCGAGCGGCGCCCCGAGCCCCCGCCGGGCTCCGCTCCGGCCAGGCGGCGGCCGACAGCCGGCAGCTCGGCCCGACGGCAGCTCCTGGCTCCTGCCCCGGGGTACGTAGCTGCGCCCCCGGCCCCGCGGCGCGGGCGGCTCGCCGGCCAGGGGCTCGGGCAGGTGGCGGCGGGGCCCGGGCGGCCGCGGGCAGCCCCCGGGCGAGAGCCGCCGGGTGGCGGGGCCGCCCCTTTGTCCCCGCCGGCACCTGGCGAGGACGGGGCAGGGGCGCGGGGCCGCGCCCTTAACACCCTCCGCTGACGGCCGGCTCCGCTACAGCGTGGGGCTGGGGCCCTGCGCCCCGGCTGCCCGCGGAGTGGCCCGGTGGCCGGCGCGGCGCGGGGCCGGGCAGCCGCCGCAGGGCTACCGGGCGGCGCCCCGGGGGGCTCGGCGTGCGGGCGCGGAGGGCCCAGCCCGGCTCGGCCCGAGGGAGCGCCCGGTGACTCCGCTCCTTTCCGCAGGGCCGTCGCCCGGACCGAGGGCGGCGGGACCGTCCCGCGGCGGTGCCCGGGAACGCTCAGCGCGCACGGGAGCGCTGTGCCCGCACGTACTGTGTAAATACCGTTTAACGCGACTGGTTGCAGAGAGCTTTGGATGTGCTGTACTGTTTCGTTCTCTTAAATGCAAAAGTATTTGAACGCGTATATGCTCTGTTTATATATATAATTGCATATTTGCACGCAATTTGCATGTGCAAATAATAATAAATTAAAAAAAAAAAAAGCATATTTTAATTTACTGCGCTCTTCTATTCTTTTTTGTTCAGAAAGAAACATATGAGAAAATCGATACCCACCGATCTCTGTATGCTAGAGAGAGAATTCCTGAAATACCGTGTTTGGGGCTTTCCTTTCGTTTTTGCTTTTCTGCTGATACCGTTAAAATTTTAAATCTAAAGAAATAATAGTCTGGAAAGGATTCAGTTCTAGGTTTCTTAATGTGACCCGTGATATGCTGTGACCCTGCTGAAGGAAGAGAGTTTATTTTGTAATGTTCCCAAAATATTGATATTTAATAAGCAGGACAAGTGTTAACTTGAATTACTTAATACTATTTTTTTTTTCTGGGTCTTAAGGCAAAGCCTTCTTTCTCTTCGTACAGAAAAATCTCTGAATGAAATTCATGATTATGTTTTAGTCAAATATTTTGTAAAGGGTTATAAGTAGTAGAGCTTATTTGATTTTTGTTCGGGACAATACAAATCTGAAAACCTTTGTAGCTAATACCGAAAAAATAATATATGATTATTTAATTCTGAGATCAAGATAAAAGCTGCTTAGATTTCAGAGTTCAATCAGCGGAGAAAAAAAGCTTCTCGTTTACATTAATTTTTTATGTTTCCCTCCTATTTTCGTGTAAGTATTCAGTTTTCTCCATCACACAACGGCTATATTAAACTGTGTTCGACAATTGCGAGGAAAATGGGAGTCCCTCTGTCCTCTCCGCAATAGTTTTTGTAACTTCAAATTTAAAAAAAAAAATAAAAAAAAATGCAATCTTCTGCGGCGGGACCGTTGAGAGAGGAACGGGAACCCTCCCAAACTCGCACCCACAGCAATAATTCAATCTTTGTTCGTGGGCTTTTACTCACAAATATCACACCAAAGATTTGTTACTTCTTGCCATGTGTGTGTACGAACACTGCACCGGATAATTGTTATCCCTGCCTGTTACCCCGAGAACAATTCGATGAGGTGTTATATTCGGTTTATAAAGTGCTTTTAACGAAAAACAAAATACAATTAAAACACCCACGCGCAAAACCATCACAGAAATAAAACATAACCAATGCTGACACAACCCCTCCTCCCCGTGGCTTGGTTCTAATTCCATATTTATTTGCAAGACAAATCTTTTTGTTTTGAGGTGTTTTGTTTTAATTTTGAGAGTTGAGCAACCAGTCACCCTTCTGTGTTTCCTAAACAAGGCAGGGAAGAATAGGGTATAGGAGTAAATAACGCTGGTTTGAATCCACCTAAGGAACCTTCGTGGCTGCTGTAGTTATGCGCGTGGGTTCGCACAGCTCCTGCGGCCGAGGATGAAGCGGTGACCGCCCGCGTGGGAGCGGCGCTCCCGTCTGCTTCCCTCGTCGCCGGCACTGCTTAGGCGCGTGCACGCGTGTGCCCGAGCGCCGGGGAGCCCGGGGGGGGGCTCGGCCGTGGGTGCGCGGCGATACCCTCTCCCCGCGAGTGTGCAGATGTGTGCGTGAGACCCGCCGTGCTCCGCGCTGCGTGTGCGTGCTCGGGACGGCGAGGGGCCCCGGTCTGAACGAAAGAGAGGAAGGAGAGGAAACAGAGGAAGGAGAAGAAGGAGAGGACTTCTCTGCTTTCTCTGCGTGAGCGTGTAGCCCCTGGTCGGGCGTGTGTGTGTCTCCGCATCCTGGCTGCGTGCATGCGGGTGCAGCCCCGTCTGTGCCCGTACTTTTTTCTGCATTCCCGGGGGGTGCGTGCGGGCCGCCCCGCCAGGCCCAGCGCGACGTTCCCCGAGGTGCGTGCGTGCGGTCCGTCGGGGCGCGGGACGCGCAGCGGCCGCTGCCCCTGGAGCCGTGTCCACAACCCGCGGGGTTGCGGAGGGAGCTCCGCAGGGTGCGGACTTTGCCGAGCCGCCGCGGAGCGTGCCGCTTGGCCGCGCGGGGCGTGCAGCTCCTCGGGCGCAGCCTGAACTCCGGCTGCGGGAGGGCTCCCCGGACCGCTGGAGGCGGCGACCGCCCTGCGACCGCGGCCCGGCTCGGCCCGGCCCGGCCCGGCCCGGCTCGGCTCGGCTGCTCAGGGCGGCCTCGGGCGCAGCCTGCCCCCTGCCGGCGCGCGGCGGCACGGCCGGGGCGAGCCGCGGGCGGTGCGGGGCCGGGCCGAGAGCGGGCCGGGGTCAGCCGGGGCGAGGCGAGCCCGGGAAGCCCGGGACGGGCGAGCGCAGGGCCCGGGGGCGGCCCCGCGGGGAGGCGGTGGCCGCGCTGCTCACCCCCGGCCGGTGCGGAGCAGCCTCCCGTTTGACCGGGCGCGTGGGCCCGGGCGCAGCGGCCACCGGCCCCGTCTGCTGCGATGCGGACGCGGGACGTGGGGGGAGTGGGGTGCCGCGGGGCTGCACTAGGTGCCGTCGGCTCCGTCTCACTTTGTCCCGTTTCTCTATCCACAGCTGTACTCCGCGACTCGCTGCCCCGCGGAACCACGGCCTTTACCGCTCGCAGGCGGCCGACTCCGAACCGTCGGTGCCCGGAGACCGTCCCGCGGCGCGGGCGGGCGGTGCTGAGGGGACCCGGCCCTGCTCGTGGAGCACCGGCCCGGCCGCACGGCGGGCAGGCACAGCTCGGGGCGGGCGCAGCCGGGGCGCAGCGGTGCAGGAGAACCGCGCAGCCCTTCCCCGAGCAGCGGCCACTCCCCAGAAGGGCTCTGCAGCCCGCGGCTCAGCCCGACGGAGCGCCCGGGGCGCCACCCCGCCGTTCGGTGCTCCTACCCCGACGGCCTTAGCCCCCGGGCCGGCTCCGCAGGCCGCCGACGGGTCTGGGTCGTCTCGAGGGGACACTTGCAGCGTCCAGCGTCGCCGGAACGGGAGCCGCAGCGGAGCGGCTCCTCAGCCCGGGAAGAGTGCATGTCGGGTGCGCTCGGCGATGAGTGATGCAGCCCCCTCTCCCTCTCTCGAAAGAATAAATGTAAGCGAGCTGCAAAGTGTAGTTACTAATAACAATAACAATAAATTACCGTGCTGTTGCTCGATAGCACAAACAAACGATCGCCGTGAACCACGCGGTGCCTTCCCGCGCCTCGCAGCCGCCCCTCCCCGGGGACCGGCCCGTCCCCAGCGGGCGGCTGGCGGGGACGGCCCGCCAAGGCCGATGGGGCTCGGCCCGCAGCGGGTGGGGGCTTCGCTCTGGCCTCGGGGAGGGACCCTTCTCTCCCGGCAGCCTCGTGGAACAGGTGACCGGTCAGCGACGAGGCCGGAGCAGTGCTAGGGAGCAGGGCCGGTGCCCCGGTGGCCCGGGGTGTAGCCGGCGGGCGGGTGGGTAGGTGGGTGGGTGGCCTGGAGCTGGCACGGGCCCGCTCCCCGGGCCTGCAGTGATCGGTGCCGGCGCAGCCTTTCAAAGGGCCCGACCCCTCCGAGGGAGCCCCGGGAACCCCCGCGCCGTCTCGGCGAGAGCGGACCGGCAGGCCGCGGTCGAAGGCTGCTCTCTGTGGAAGGCGGCGAGCACCGAGCCGGTATTTTAATTAAGCAGGGTCTCTTTGATATATGCAGCCTGATGCTATCTCTGTGCGCTGTTCCCTTCACGGCAGCTTTTGGGTAGGAAAATTGCTGAGAAAGCTGGATCACATGGACTGTCTGAGCTGCTCAGAGCAGCGCCAGAAAGCCCCGGGGAAGTCAGCGGGTGCGTGTGTGAATGTGCGCGGCGCGCTGGGAGTTCCAGCTCTGCTGTGGTGCGGTGCGCGCTGTGTACATTTTCGGGGGGCCTGGAGGAACTATAGTCAATTTACCATGATTAAAGGCACAAGCAAGGAGGCGCCACACATTTGCATGTGCCTTCATCTTTTTTAAGTGGATTTTTGAGGGCAGTGCGGCAGACAGAGTTGGACTCCGCGTCCCCTCTCTGCCGGCGGAGCGCCTCGCCGTGCTGCCTGGTGGCGCGGCGGTCTCGGACCCTCCGCCCGCCCCTCGGGGCGAGGGCGCCGCGGACGGGCCTGGGCGCCGGGGCCCGTCAGGGCTGTACCGTCCCGGAGCGTTGCCGCTTCGCCGCCCGGTCTCTCACTCCGTCGCAGACACGGCCCCGCGGGAGGCGCCGAGCCAGGCCCCGCGCGCCTAGATCCGGCCCGGCGACAGGCGCGGCTCCGCGCTGTCCTCCCTCTCGCCGCGGGCCAGCGGCTCACCCGGCGCCGGGAGCTCCGGGACGGGCCGCGCCCTTCTGCGCCGTCCCGGGCGCCTCCGCACTCGCCTCGGCTCCAGCCCTCGAAGCCCTTCAGGCACCCCACTCCCGCGGCCGGCCGCGACCCGCGTTACCAGCGCAGCCGCATCCCTCGCCCGGCCAAGGAGCTGCTCCCCGTACGGGCAGGCACCGCCTCACACGGGCGCTGCCCGGCTCGCAGCAGCCGCGCTGCGGAGGGGCCGTGGCATCCGGCCCAGCAGACCCGCCGGGCAGGCGGCTCAGCCCCCGGGGCAGCGGCGGCGGACACCGGGCTCGGGTCCCAGAGAGGTTTCCCGACTCCCGTTCCGACTCGGATTAGACCGAACCGGTCCTCGGCCCCGGTCGATCCTCGCCCGCTCCGCTCCATCGACCTGCGCTCGCCCTCCTGGGCTCTCTGCGCGCCGGGAGCCAGAGCTCGCGAGCGGCCGGGCCCGACGGGGCGGCCGGGCCAGGAGGAACCCCCGGCTGGCTGCGGCGTGGCGCGCACATGTGTCCCCGGCGGCGGCCCGGTGCCAGGTGCAGGGCTGGGGGCAGAGTTTACCGCCAGGTTCTGATGGCTCCCCGGGTTTCCCAGCCCGAGGGAGGGCGGGGGTTCTTTCCCCAGTTCAGGGCAAATACCTTCATTTCACTGGGAAATTTAACCTCTCCTTGGAGTTGGATCCATTATAGGGGTTTAATATCCGCTCTTTTACAGCTCAGTGTTGTAAAGGCAGCAGCCAGGTCTGTGAACTCTGACATGTGCACCCGCGGGGGGGTGGGGGGGGCCTGCCGGCGCGGGGCGCGCCTGCCAGCGCAGTCTTTCATCTGCGGGGTCGCCGCACCGGCCCCGCCGGTCGGCAGCGGGAGGGGGCGGCGGTCGCTCCCCACCCCGGCTGCCAAGCCGGGCTCGAAGCGCCCGCACTCCCCCTCGGGGTCCACGGCGCAGTCCCAGGGGTTCTGCAGCCGCCGGCCACAAAGTGCCGGGGGTGTTGGCGTGGCCCATAGCTCCACCGGCCCCGTGGGAGCGAGTTGTGCCTGCGCGGCAGAGGCCGTGCCCAGCTCGATGGCCTCTCCCTCGGCGGGGGCACGGCAGGTGCGCCGGGCGCCCCCAGGTAGCCGTGCCAGCGCACCCAACTTGGCTGCCGGAGCTGCTTGTCTTGGTGTCTCTCCCTCTCAGAGGGATGCGCTCGGTAGCGACCGGTCATTTCCAGGGCAGCCGCCTCCACAGTCATAAAACGGGACCCGCTCCACAGAGCCGACCCTCCTGCAGAGGCGTGAATCGCACCGTACGTCCAGCAGGGTCTGTCGGAGGGACGGGAAGGGACGAGGGGACCCTGAACCTTCCGCTCATTCTCCCGCAAATCGGCAGGTGCGTGGGACCAGCCCGGGAGGGGGCACCGGGCCGACGCTGACCCGCGGGGCCGGGCCGGGCCGTCGGGCCTTCACTCGGACGGGCGGGCGGTACCGCGGCAGCCGCGCCGGGAGCGCCCTGTGCCGGGGGGAGCGGCCGCGCCAGGCCTCGGCGCCCGCGGGGGCAGCCGCCGGGAGCAGCGGGTCGCACCGCCCGCCGCGCAGCGCTGCCGGCTCCCGGTACAGGAGGCTGGCCCGTGCCGCCTGCGCCACGGCTCGAGGCGGCGCCGGGGGCTCCGCTGGCGTGCGGCAGTCCCGGGGACGCGTATTGCGGCTGCCGACGGCGGCGATGCTGCCCGCCGGGCGGGAGCGGGCTCCCGTTGGAGGGGCGGACTGAGCCGCCCGTCCCTCGGCTTTGCGGACGCACCGCGGAATCGCTTCTACACATGTAATCGAAAATCTGAATAAAACCCGATTTTCAGGGAAAAGAAAGATTCCAACAACGAGAAACCGTTTCCTGCTCTGGCTGGGCAGCCGCTCGCTTACGACCAACGTTTCTGGCTAACAGGAGCGCAGACCTCAGCCGCTCTCCTTGCTCCCCCGCAGCACCGAGCTCGGCGGAGCACGGGAACGACGGCGCCGTGCACCACCGAAGCCGGCTCCGCTGCCCGCCCGGGCTCCGCCGCAGCCCGCGCGGCTCCCGTGCTCCCGGGGCCTGGCCGCCGGGGCCTCGTCGGCCGGGCTGCGCCGCTGCCCTGCCGCACCGCTCGGCGCTCAGCCCGCCCCGCACGGCCCCAGGCCGCGAGCACGGGGACCGAGCGGCCCGGCCCGCCGAGCCCGGGGCGCTCCTGCCGCCCGCCCGCAGCCCCGCCAGGTGCCGGCACCGCGCGCGAGCCGGGGCGAGGGGGCGCGGCCCGGCCCTGCCTCGGGGCCGCGCAGACGCCGGCAGGACGCGGCCAGGAGCCCGGCCCGGCAGCGTCCCCGCAGCGCCGGGGCGATCGGGCCGGCCCCTCGGCTTCTTCTCTGCTCGGGAGCCCGCGGCCCGGCCGGTCCCGTCCCGGGCGCAGCGGGGGCGAGCGCCCACCTCCCGGGGGCGGGCGGGACGCCGAGCGCGGAGCCCGGGCCGGGGGCACCCCCGAGCCGCCGGGAGCTCCGCGCCCCCCGGTCGCCGCTCGCTTCCGAAACTTGTCCCGGCGCTGCCGGAGCTGCGCCGGGCTCGACGGGGCTCCCCTTTTGCATGGCCACAACCGGCACTCCTGCACTGCTTGTTGCTCCTCACGGGGAGGAATGCAAAATGAAGACCGAACGTAGGAAGAAGAAAGAGAGGGCTTTGTATATAAGACAGTATAACTTTCTACGCAAGTTATTAATAGCTACCAGAAAATATAAGTTGTAGGCAGTTGTGTTACATTATCTGGTCGGGCTTTTCTGCCATGGGTCTCCTGAACTAGCTTTGTCAATAGAAAATAATCACATGAAATGGGGAAATACCAGAAAGAGAGCAAATAAATAGTGCTGTTAACCTTGCCGGTCTGTGCACTCCCTTGAATAGCAAAGCCGAGAGCTCCTTTCTGGTTTATATTAGTGATTATTGCACTGTCATTAAAGAATGCAGGGGTGGAAATATTTGCTTCGGGACTCTAAGCACACACATTACAGCAAGAGGGGAAGAAATCGTCGGAGTGTGTGCCACACAAAAAGAGGAGAAATGCCAAATCAAAAACCGAGAATAGCCAAAGCCAGGAGAACCTGCGTGGGGAAGACTCCGTTTCCTGCTCCACTGTGCAATCCCGAGTGCCGGCGGAGCTGCTCCCGCCTCTCTCCATTTCATATCCATTTTGCTTACAGGCTACCTGCTTCCAAACTCCGTAACACACATCCGGCAGTTTGTCATGAAGAGCAGTTGCGTGATGTAATTCCACAACATGACATGTTCTCACCTGATGCCAACTGATCACTGTAAAGATGCACACGAAGCTGCAGGCTCTTCTGGCAGCATTTTCTTGTCCTCTCTCTTTCTCTTGCATGTCTCTGTTTATCGTTTATCTGACATGCTGGATGCTGGCAAGACAAGACTTGGAGCAGCCCTCGGAGGTCTTTATTAGAAGTCAGGGCTTCGATCAGCGAATACCAGCCCTATACTTTTTTTTTAAAAAAAAAAAAAACAAAAACAAAAAAAAAAAACAGCTGCCCTCACCGTATTCCTCAACTATGTTATCTGCTCATGGTTCTGTCCCCCTGAGGAGCCAGGAGGCATGGGAGAACACTTCCCCCACTTTCCCACCCCGCCGTTATTCATAAGCACAAAACTTACTATTTCTCGTTAGCTCAGAACATAAGTGTATATAAACTCGTTTGGGATTGCTCTTCAGTCAGCTGCCACTTCTCATGATGTTGTCCTAAAAGAAATCAGCTAATCCCAAGGCTCAAAGGTTGTCACAAACAATAAACACTTTCAGCTTTAGCCTCATTTGGACAACGGCAGATGAGCCAATTTGACACTCCTCTTCGCACCATAGATTTGCTCCCCTAATTATTTCACCGTTCTTACTCTTGGTCAGAGTAGAGGAACGCCTAGCGTCTGCATTATTTTTGGTAGAGAAACGGCTCTATTGTACACTTTGGTGTCCTGTAGCTCTGCACGTAGAAAATCAAGAACAATCAAAGGGCAACGGAGCTTGTTTGACTGCTCCCAGCCGAAGTGTCATTTTCCCTCTTCCCCTAGAGATATCTTGGATATCTGTGGAGTTCAATATTTGTATAATACCTGGGGAGAAGAGGTATTCCCCAAGAACTGTCAGGTCATCTGATAAAAGTGTGGCAAAGCAGTAACATTTACTACAGATTTGGAGCACCCTTTCAACCTGGGTCAAAAGGGACTAAAAAGCAGTGAAGTGGAAGAGTGGACGGAGAACTTCAAAGCTGATTTTCAATGTGATCTCAATGGACATGAATGCATTTGGTCGCAGTCTCAATCACTTGAAAACCTGGGTGATACATGCCATCCCCTCCCCTACTTCTCCCCTCAAATTATGATCTTACACTTCTGAAGCAGTGACTTCACTAGCATGAATTATGATTTGTTCAGTCACTTACCCACAGAGAGTTAATCCTCCCCCCTCGCCCCCTACCCCCTTTCCTAAATCAGGATTTCCTTAATGCAAAGGGTTGAAGCCTGTCATATAAACCAGTAGATAAAGATATTTACATTTCTGATTTGGGATGCAACATTATGATTAGAGCAACTGGGTTATTAAACTAAAGTGGAAAAATATGTTC